TCTCTCTCTCTCTCTCTCTCTCTCTCTCTCTCTCTCTCTCGCTCTCTCGCTCTCTCGCTCTCTCGCTCTCGCTCTCTCTCTGCTCGCTCTCTCTCTCTCTCTCTCTCTCTTTCTCTCGGTCTCTCTCTCCCTCTTTCTCTTTCTCTCTCTCTTTTTCTCTCTCCCCTCATGGGCTCACTCTCTCATTTTTGCTATCACTTTTTCTTTCTCTCTCTCTCTAATCTCTCTCTTCACCTCTCTATAGATATTATCCAGAGTGTAAATAGCTGTGCTGCTTTCATTGTGAGTTGCATTATTATAGAGAATGAATAGTTAAAGATAAAGCTAATATAAAGTGGAGAAGATTGCATAGAGAGTGATAGGGTTTAAAACTCAATGCAATATGTATATTTATAGTATATCCATTGCTAATACTCTGAAATCTATCGTTAAAACAACAATTTAAAAAAGAAGTGTCATTCTCCCGAAAGAGTGCATGGGATCACGTGATATTCTGTTTGACCGCAGGCCATCCATCGATACTGCCGTATCACTTCACAGAACCAAAGCAAGTTGATGAGACGAGCAAAGATTACATGTTAATGGGATGCATTCAGTACATCAACAAGGTTGTCACCTAATTCTCACTCTTACAGGGCCACAATTTCATACTACTAGTATTAGAAATTAGTAATTAACATTTCAGTTAATTTTAATTAAATTTGATTATTATGTTCGGTAGAGTAGTGCATAGTTCTAGGAGTTTTTTCAAAGCAACTATTTTTAGTATTTTTTATTTTTAACTGTGCAACAAGCACATTAGTTGAGTGTAAACGGGTTATTTTGGAATTTCATGCGATTATGAATGTTTTATCTTTCCATTTTAGGTGAAAACCGGATTGTTTGCAGAGCATTCTAACCAGCTGTATCACATAAGTGGGGTGGCTTCCTGGTCTAAGGTCAACTCTGGCTTTTTTAAGATGTACAAAGTAGAGGTAAGTCGGTAATATGAAATGTTATAGTGGAATTTTTAAACACTTGAGAGTTAAAATCAGAAAAAGAAGATAAAATCATTTAATTATTTTTTTCTTGAGAAGATAAAATCAGGTTTGCTGCGAAGCCAATCGCAAATTTTGTGTGTATCCATACCACCTTTTATAAATTTAGAGGAGATTTTAAATGATTACGCTTCAATTCGTTTTGCTGGATTTCCTGCTATTTTCTGCATTGGTTCTTGTTTTGCTACCCTCTTTTCTTTTCTGATGGTCTTACGTATTTGTAGGTGCTCAGCAAATTCCCTGTCATTCAGCACGTTCTTTTTGGATCACTGATTACCATCGACAAAGCAACCACGCCACCCCCCAGGATATGAACAACACGGTAAACACCATATTAGTCTCAGGATATGAACAACAAGACACACACGACCCCTCACCTTCAGGATATGAACAACAAGACACACACGATCCCTCACCTTCAGGATATAAACAACAAGACACACACGACCCCTCACCTTCAGGATATGAACAACAAAGCAAACATCACCCTCCCTGCCAAAATATGATGAACAAGATAATATACACAGCTGTGGCTGTGTGCTATGTGTGGATCATCAATGTGCTGCCCAGTGTATGACAATTAGTAGATAAATAGATATGTAGGCCTCAAAACGTTTGCGTAAAGTCTGTGCTATCTAACGTAGGCCTACTTTGCTCAGTGATAGTGGCGATGCAAGGCAAGAGGTAATTTCTTCTTAATATAGGTATTGAGAGGGCAGTTTTAATTGATACCATGTGCCTTCTATCGTCAGCCTTCTGTCAGTTACAGAGAGTCTATTTGATGTTTGCCATGACAGGAACATTGTTGTAAATAATATTAATAAATGTACAGCTGAGGAGAGCTGCGTAGAACTGCATATTCGTCTGGATTTATTGCTGTTTTTATGTGATACATTTACGCGCCGATAGCAGACGTTCTCTGCGTTTTCCATGCACGCACCACGTTTAACATTATACTAAGTGCACAAATCAATAAAGTTAGTATGTTCCTAATCCTTACGTAAATGAATCACTGCGGGATATTTATTGTTATTACTTTCTAGTTCCGGTAGGTGGCACTAGTAGGTATCTACGTATACCGGCAAGCGTACACGCGCACGCGGAGGAAGCTCAACATTATGATACACACGCTGGCAGCGCATGAATGAACAAGAGTCCTATAGTATCTTGCGGGTATACTGTTGATATCAGAAGTAAATAACCTGAAATTACGAAATTATACCTCTAAATTGTGAAGATTATTTGACTCTGTTCATATGTGTATATCCGTTCATGCGTATAGATTCCCGGTAATAAATTCCATGTATAATGTTTAATTGCCTTCAGCATACTAGAACTATGTACGTCTATTCTTCTTCTTCTTCTTCTTCTTCTTCTTCTTCTTCTTCTTCTTCTTCTTCTTCTTCTTCTTCTTCTT